AGCAGCACAAGAACAGGCACTAAGCACCAGATCCATAGAAGCAGGGGTCTACCACACTAGACAGGACCCAAGGTGCAGAATACACAGAGAGGCCTCAGAGACAGTCCAACACATACTGGCAGGGTGTAAGATGCAGGCAGGAACAGCAAATACGTGGTTATGCAATAACCAAGTAGCTGTTATTGTGTAAAGGAACATTTGCACAGTGTATGGGCTAGACCCTGCCAAGTCCAGATGGGAGATTCCACAGAAGGTCATGGAGAATAAAAAGGCTAAGATCCTGTGGGGCTTCCAAGATCCAGATGGACAGGCAGCTACTGGCCAATCAACCAGACATCGTGGTAGTAGACCAGAACCAGAAGACAACGGTTGATGACAGATGTAGTGGTGCCAAGTGACAACAACACCAGGAAGAAGGAGTATGAGAAGCTGGAGAAGTACCAGGGCCTAACTAGAGAGGATGTGGAAAGTCAAGGCCAAAGTGGTCCTGGTGGTGGTAGGAGCATTCGGGGCTGTGACTCCTAAGCTGAGAGAGTGGACCCAACAGATCCCAGGAACAACATCAGAGCTCTCTGTCCAGGAGAGTGCAGTGCTAGGAACAGCTAAAATACTGTGCAGAGCCCTAAAAATCCGAAGCTCCTGGTACAGGACCTAAGATTAAGGAACACACATACCACCCATAGAGGTGAGAGGAGAATCTTTTTTTTTTTTTTTACATACATACACATAGCAAGAGACATATTTTAAAGGATAACTTTATCTTTATATGTGTGTGTGTGTGTGTGTGATCCTTTAAATATGTGCATTATTTTATACTGGCAAGGTTTTGATTTAATATATCCACTTACATCTTTGGACACCTCAGAAAATTATTATTAATATTATTATCGGTCGCACAATCAGCCAGATATTTAGACTATGGCATTTTTATCTACCTATCGAGTCCTTCCTAAGGACCTGTGATAGGCAGATGTTGTTTAATAATATTAAAGGTATTGTCACAGGATGGAATCTGTCCCAAGTAGAGTTGCCTTTTGCAATTGACGGATGGTGATTTTGTCAATGCCGATGGTCTTCAAGTGGTGCTCCAGATGTTTTGCGATTGTACCCATTAGCATTGGTACTATTTTTGCTTTCTTTTGCCACAGTCATTCTATTTCTATTTGCAAGTCTTTGTATTTTGTGATTCTTCTCCAGTTCTTTCTCTTCTATTCTGCTGTCTCCAGGTATTGCAATGTCCACTATCCAGACTTTTTTGTCTTTCTTATCAACAGTGGTTAAGCCTGGGGTGTTATGTGGCAGGTGCTTGTCTGTTTGAATTCTGAACTGCCAGAGCACTTTATCTTCTTCCTTTTCTATGACTTTGTCTGCTTTGTGGTCCCACCAGTTCTTGCTTGCAGGCCAATGGTATATCTTGCCTATATTCCAATGCACCATTGTTGCTACTTCATCATGCCATTGTTTGTCGTCAGTCTGTGTGATCTTCTTGCAGCAGCTAACTAGGTGGTCCACCGTTTCTTCAGCTTCTTTGCAGAGGTGGCATTTGCTGTATGTTGCTGTCTTCTCAAGTCTGGCTTTGTAGGCATTTGTTCTTAAGGCTTGGTCTTGTGTAGCCAGAATTAGCCCCTCTGTCTCTTTCTTCAACTTTCCTGCTCTTAGCCATTGCCAAGTCTTGTTGTTATCTACTTTGCCTGCTAGTTCTGATTGATTGATTGATTGATTGATTGATTGATTGATTGATTGATTGATTGGTGTACTGGCCATATAATAATTTGCCTTGCCATGTCTCTTTTCTATTCTTCATTTGATCTTTCTTCTAGGCCAGTTTGGTCTCTTCAGTATTCAGTAAGCCTTCATAGGGTCCTAGGTTCAGTGCATCTTCTTTAGTGTCCTTCAGATATCCTTCTAATGACCTTTTTTCTTCTTCAACTCTCTAGTGTATTTGCAACATTCCATGCCCACCTATGCTCCTTGGTAAGGAGAGTCTGTCAACATTGCTGCATGGATGAAGGGCATGATTTATTGTCATTCTTTTTCTGGTCTTCCTATCCAGGACTTCTAGATCTTCTTGAGTCCAGTCCACTATTCCAGCTGTGTATCTAATGACTGGAATTGCCCAGGTGTTAATTGCCTTGATGTTATTTCCTACACTGAGTTTGGACTTTAAGATCTTCTTCACTCTCATGATGTATTCACTACTAGTCTTCTTCTTGACTTCAATGTGCTTCATATTGTCAGCTTGAAGGATCCCCAGGTATTTGTAGTGATCTTCTTCATCCAGACTCTATAAGGCATCTTCAGTTTTCACTATTTTTCCCCTGTTGATGGTAAGGGTGACACATTTGTCCAGTCCAAA